CCCCAAAACCCCAAAACCCCAAAACCCCAAAACCCCGAGTAATTGATTTAATTGAAGGCTTAAATAATTGGGAATTATTTGAAGGGATTCAAACAATTTAGTTTGTAATGGAGCAGAATATCAGAAAATTACTGATGGAGGCACTTTCGCCATTTAATCACAATCAGGAGGATTGTGATGGTGGTTTAGAAGAGTCTCATGAATCTGAAAATTCCACTACAGATGCTAGTGATGAATTTGAAGATCCAATCAAAAAAGAAAAGGCTTTAGTCAATACAAGTACGAGCCTGCCAAGGAAGCAAGAACAGATAAAGCCAAAACAAGAGAAGCTGATGAAGCCATTCAAATCGTTCCCTATTAAAGATCAGAAGGTGGACAAAGATGCCCAAGAAAATCGATTGAATGATGGTCTAAAATTACTTAGCAATTACCGGAAATGGAAGCCTGAAGTCTGGATGAGTGAGAATGAAGCCCATACAGATAATAAAGAAGCTGCCTCTCCTGCTAAGATCACATGACATGTCTGTCTGCAAAGCCACTCTACTTGTTTTGACAACATTTTAGTATGAAATTTGTGCAATGTAGCTTTTCATCAGAAATGCTATGGCAAGGAAGTATTATCAGAAATTCCTAAAAGTGGCACATGGGCTTGTCAAAGATGCAAGTACCTCTTTCTTCTGAGAGATAATTTCAACATCGATGAAGTCAAATGTGCTCTATGTCCAGAGCTCAAAGGAGCAGTCATAAAGCCTACAAATTTTCCTTGGGTACATATTAGATGAATTCAATGGAGCGATGACATTTATTTTAAGAATTTCAGTACTAAATTGACCATCTGTGGGAAAATTCCGTCCTCTTTAAGAGAAGGTACCTGCAAAATTTGTAAGTATCCAGGATTAGAAAGATATGGAGCTAAAATAAAATGTGACTTCAAATCTTGTAAGACCATATTCCATGTTGAATGTGCCATCAAAGCTGGAATCCGCCTCAATTTTAATAAGAAAGGGAAATTATTGATTAATCATGATGGATCTGACTCCAATATCTATTGACTTATTCACACTAAACAGTTAACTCAATCTGTTCAATCAGAGAAGGAAAATTTGACACAAGAATTTAGCAGCAACATTAGGCTAAAAGACGGAGGCTGCTTAAAAATACCTAAAAACAAGAAACCTCTCAATTCATGAAACACTGAAAGTGAAGATTCCTCTCTTGAAGAGATTAGCCTGAATATCAAGAAATTGTCTGATCAGAAGCAGAAATAGCAATAAAAGTTCCAATAATACCAACAAAGTTAAGAAAAGAATGTTCAAAACTTGTGAAAAGGATATTGATGCTCTTATGAATAACAAAGAGCTAGGATCATTAGCTAATTCAATCCAAAATACTCCAAAGGACTTTATTTCAGCTGTGAAGATTGAAAATCCTGTACCTTATACGCCAAATTCGGATATTTACGAACCCTCACTGCCAAATCAAGAGCCTGTGCATAAGAAGAAGTATTTGAGCTTCTTGGAACGGATCAACAATGGAATCCCAGGCAAGGGGTCTGTCCAAAAATCTTCTTGCTTTAAAAGCTCTAAGAAAAAAGTAGCTCATAGTTTAGCACCAGAAGATATTTATTATATCCCTCAATGACTGAAAGTGATCCTTAAGACTGAAAAAGCAGGAAAAAGTTGGATCTGTAATGTGCTTGGTGAGTATATCAAGAATCATCCAGCCGTGCAGCTGTATCATGATGATTGGGCTCGAATCAATAGGTGTCCTGAACTCCAAGAGGCATTTGGAATGGACCAAATTCTTCTAACACATATAGAATATTATGTAAGCAGTTGTTTCAAGAAATGTTCTCAATTCGAAACTGTGAAAGAAGAGAATTTAAAGAGTTATGGTGATGAAATAAAGATTATTAATGTAATTAATAAACCTCCAAGCAGAAAGAGAAGACTCAGAAAATTCAAATTAGGTAGTCCAGCTAAGAATACCCAGAGAACGAGCAGTTTCATCAGAGACAATTCTCGGCCGAAAATAGTCTATAAGAGAAAGAAAAGTGTGTTTAAAAAGCGGGTTATAAAGGATGCCGATCCAACCAATTCAGAAGATGATTATGCTTTTGACTGATAATTTCAATAAACTCCAATCTTTAAGGGGTTTTGGGGTTTTGGGGTTTTGGGG